GATATTCAGAACAGGTTACTTTATTATAATGTTACCACATTGTTACATAATTCAAAATGTTTTATTCACTGTATATAATTTTCATGATGAATGGGGTAGGGGCCGCTGCGCGGCCTAGGCACCCAGTTTTGTTTAAAGAAAGAAAGAAAAGTCTTGATGTAGAGATCATGAAATTGAGTGCATCTGGATCTAAGAGAAAAGGGGGGGGGCTAGTGCACGGGAGACCGGTGATTTGCTGGTTTGCTCGCTAAGTGGAACTTCGATGCTGCTGATGAAGATCTTTAGAAATGACAAGTCCTTGAAGTAATTTAAAAACTACTTCATTCTTAATTAACTTCTCCAGCTCAGTAATTAGTAGAAGCAGTCTTGCAGTGAGAGCAATGGAACCTCTGTTGTCTTGGGACCTGGTGTTACTAGATCAGATGTTATTGCTGCTTCTAAGGCTCCTTTTCGAATACTGGCGTGAAGGTCATCTTAAGTAGTTGGTAGTATAGTTTTCTCCACAATTTGCACATAAAGCTGGTGTAGATCTCTCTATAGAGGAAACTTCCGTGATATAGCCTGCACATTTTACACATCGTGCTGCGTTGTTGCAAGATCTTTGAGTGTAGACGAACTTCTAGCAGTGGAAGCGTTGAGCGAACTACGCCCACTACAGAAATGCTCGATCTTGATTGACCGCTGAAAGTAAATCTGAGTAGTGCTCTGTAGCTTCTCCCTGGTGTTATTTTCATCTTTGAAGATCACTGTAAAATCGTTAGAAGACTCTCATCACCATTTCTTCTCTTCATTGGAATTATCTGGATGAGGATAAAACCGGATAACTCGATATTCTGAACTGAACTGTATTAAAGCTGAGGCAATTTAACTTGAACTTTATGGTGTTTCGATGAGATGGTGAAATGCAAATGAAGTAAAGGAGTATTCATGTGGATAGATGATCATTGAGTTCTGACTGTGTATTTATATGCTGTAAGGTGATATGGCCAGCGGACTCTATATTCTGTAGGATTTGGCAGGATGTATCTGATGGATTAATTCAATGTGCTGGATTCTGGATATCAGGTGTATCTCGATATTTGACACGAAGCGCCACCAACAGATTAATCGATTCTGTAATGTTCTGTGATGTGGAGTCATAAAACCAAAAGAAAAGGTTCCGAAATGTAGAAAATTTCCAGAGTCTTTGCAGGAACATGACAGGACTGATCATCATTGAGCTGGGGAGATCCCCTTGAGAATGGTTTGAAGAAGGCGTAGCACTTCATTCCTCAGCAGATCTTGTTATTCCTTCATTAAGGATACGAGTCGATGAGCTGATGAGGCAGGTGAAGTTGGTTTTGCCCGGGGGATCCTTCCATTGGGGCGAGCCTTGCACCCATAGTAGTTGGAGGTATGATTTTTCATGCAGTTACATCATTTGGCTGGTGTGTCTCGTCTTTTTCCCCACTGATATGACTAGTGCTTTTCGGCACATTTCATGCATCTTGGTTTTGGTAGAGCAGGAACGTTAAGAGTGTCCAAACCCTTGGCATCTAAAACACTGACAGTTGTCGAAGATTCCAATGCTTTCTCGGTGTTCTTCTCTGTAGTTGAAGTGGTGGACTCCAGCGGGGAAAGAGATTCAGAAGGAGAGCAGCTTTTTGTAGTCATGGGAGGAAAGATATCATTAGTATCATTAGTTTCTTTAACATCAGCGAGCTTTTTTCTTCTTTCCAACAGGATACTCCTTGTTGCTTCTATTCAGGTTCTCTGAGTCAGAGGCCGAGACCTCTTCGTCTAGTTCCAAGTGCACATGTTATCTACTTCAGTTCAATGTTTGTTTGAAGCGTAACTATGTAATTTTTATTTTGAACAAAATAGTGGTGAATTTAATAAATCAAATTCTTATTACCTTGCCTACAAAGAAACTGGTAAAGAAATATTTCTGATCTCTTGGTAAGGAAATGCTTCAATGACTGATCCCTGAGATAACAAGCAAATTCCAGGTAGTTCCCTTATCATCAAAGCTGATAGAGTTGTTGTGTCTACCATTAGTCGGCTTGCAAATGAACACATTAAGTGTCTATCTTCTGAAAAGGAACAGAAAACTTCTCCAATTTGTAGTTCATTAAACTCTGTGATAGCCTCTCCCGATCATCTCTTGAACTGTGCAATCCCGACAGGGATGGCGTAATTCTTAGGCCTGTTCTCATTTATGACTTTTGTAGATTGGAATCCTGGTCTTGTTCCCCAGGCTACGACTAAATCATTAGAAATACGTCATTAACCATCACTTCCTACATCCGAAAACCTCCACACAGTATTTTATAAGTTGTCTGCGCAGACTATTTGAAAAGTTAACCTGTTGTGCGCATGTACTCAAATTTTGTTTTAAAAGCAATCGAGAAAAATTTATCATATATATTTGAGAATTGAATCTGTAGTGGTTGACAAGTAAATAAGACAAAATAATGATATTCATAAATTAAACAAGTTTTTAGACATTTATTTGCTACCACTTTCTTATTTTTACTATATTTTCTATTAGATGGCTCTTTTGTAAACTGGTTTACCTTCATAGTGGTTTGATCGGACTACTTATAGGAAACCGTGTGGAGGCTTTCAGTTATAGGAAGCGTTGCAGTAACTCCACAATTCGTTGAGTACCGAAAATTAAATTTGTGGAACTCAACCGTGGAAGTCTTATGCCTTGTAAAATGGAGGGCTCATAGTGACATATAAAGAATTTAATTGTTGTTACATAAAAATTTTGATTATGTTATAAAAACTTTACTTTTATTATGCCTGTATTTATCTTATAGGTTAGGAATTTTTGTTATTGTATTTTAAGCATCAGATTTCAGAAACAAATGTGTTACCGTCGTAAAAGTCGATCACATCAAATACCTCCTGTAACTGAAAGCCTCTACACGATTTCTGCTAGGTAGTCCGATCAGACCACTATGATGGTAAACCAGTTTACGAAAGAGCCATTTAATAAAAAATCTAGCAAAAATAAGAAAGTGGTAGTAAATATATGGTAGCAAATATATGTTTTTAATTTATGAATATGTTTGTCTTGTCTTATTTACTTGTCAACCACGACAGATTCGATTCTCAAATATATATGATTATTTTCTCTCAATTACTTCTAAAAAATAAAAATTTCACTTTTTTTCCTTTTATGACATTTTCTTACAAACAGCAGCCTTAAAAATAGAAGTCAAAAATGTTTTTAAATTGCCCAGTTTGGGATTCATATACTTGCAAAACCTGCTCTGAGAAAAAAAAATGTGATCAGAATATGATGAAATTTACCGGTTTCAAGCTCTGTGAAATCACCAAAAAGTTCGGTAAATTTTACCAAAGCGCTTTTGCAATAAGTTTGGTAAAATTAACAATAAAGTATTCTTTTATGATTTGTGGTAAAATTTGGTAAATGCGGTAATATTTGATAATTTTATCGTGATGCATTAGAGTATGGGAAAAAACCATTTTCTCGGTTAAATTAACCTTTCAGTTTTGTATTTTCGCTAAAATGTGTGGTAATTATAAACAATATTTTGAAAACCAGAATTTCCGGAAAACCATTGTCATATAAACGGAAAAATTACCAAATGAGTGGATTGAATACGCTTTAATTTGGTTTTATTCACCAGAATTATATATTTTTTTTAATTTTTAGAAATGTCATTACCATACAATATAGTAATTTTACCGGAATTTTTTTCTTCTCGTGACGCGAAACAGTTGATATAATTATATCGTTATGATTAAACCTTTACAATATAAACAGAAAAATTACGAAATAAATATTTCAAATTCCGTATATTTTGGTTTTATTAATTAGAAATGTGTTTTTTTTTAGAAATGTCATTACAATACGATAATTTTATCAGAATTTTTTTCTCCATCTGAAGCAAAACGGCTGGTATAAAAATTATTAAAATCGGTAAAAACTACTAGCTGCTTTTGCTATGGTAATTCTTTATATCTTAACTCCAGATTTCTTGGAAATTTTGTTACTAAATCATATAATGCAGCATGGACATAAGTAATCAATCATTCCCTATGTTCTTTATGCATCAACTACGATATTCTTCTTTCATTAATGTATACTTTCATTTCACTAAATAATTTTGATTTTTATGATCATTCTCATTAGGCATTCATTGTTCTGAAGAAGAAGGCTTAGTGTTTGATGAGTGTGGTCCACCATGTTCGAGAACATGCGAGAATATAAACATGCCCATAGAACTATTAGCGTCTCAGTGTTTTAAGCCGTGCGTTCCTGGATGCCAATGTTCTGCAGATAAAGTACTTCACAATGGAAGATGTATTCGTCCAGAACGTTGCCCATAATTTGCATATTTTTCATATTGTAATGTAAATAAACGTTTTATTTAATACAGTGTTCAAGATTGCTTTGATGTATTATATTTTGATACAATACATGCTGGAATTCGTTATTCATTAAATGATTTTAAATTCATTGGACTCCATTACATCATTTAATTCGTATCTATTTAGGAAATTATAATTAGAGTTTCGAGGACAAAGCGTACGGATACAGAATCTTGCATTGGCAAAATCTCGCTGGGACAGAATCTTGTTTGTGCTATACTCTAGAGAGTATAACGAACACAGAGTCTTGCTAAGATAAATTATGATGATGAATTATATTTTGATACAATGCTTGCAGGGATTCGTTATTCATTAAATGATTTTAAATTCATTGAAATCCATTAAATCATTTAATTCGTGTCTACTTATGAAAGTATAATTAGAGTTTCAAGGACAAAGCGTACGGATACAGTACGGCAAAATCTCGCTGGGACCGAATTCATTTCAAGTCATTTAATTCGTATCTATTTATAAAATTATAATTAGAGTTTCGAGGACAAAGCGTACGAATACAGAATCTTGCATAGGTAAAATCTCGCTTGGACAGAATCTTGTTTGTTTGCTATACTCTAGAGTGTGTAACGTATACAGAGTCTTGCTAAGATAAATTATGATGAAGAATTATATTTTGATGTATTATATTTTGATACAATGCTTGCAGGGATTCGTTATTCATTAAATGATTTCAAATTCATTGAAATCCATTACATGATTTAATTCGTATCTATTTATGAAAATATAATTAGAGTTTCGAGGACACAGCGTACGAATACGGAATCTTGCATTGGCGAAATCTCGCTGAGACAGAATCTTGTCTGTATGCCATACTCTAGAAAATGTGAGGAATACAGAGTCTCACTTAGATAAAATCTCACGAGGACAAAGTTAGGAATTGATTTTTCTCGCGAGAACAAAATCTTGTTTGTATGGTGAACTTGTTTGTAATACTCTAGAAAGTGTTATTGATACTGAATCTTGAATAGACAAAATCTCGCGAGGACAAAATCCTGTTTGCATGCTGGACTTGTTGTAATACTATTGAAAGTGTTACTGATACGAAATCTTGAATCGACAAAATCTAGCTAGGACAGACTCTAGTTTGCATGATGGACTTGTTTGTAATATTCTAGAAAGTGCTACTGATACAGAATCTTGAATAGACAAAATCTCGTGAGTACAGAATCTTTTTTTAAAATTATTTCCGCAATAGTTTGCCAAAGTGAGAAAATATCTTAAAGAAGTTTTGTTCAGCTTAATTTTGACCGCCTGAGATTTTGTCCTTGCGAGATTTTGACAGGATACCCATTAATAAAATTCAATCACATTTATTAAGAAAAAATTTTTTATTCGATTAAATAGGTATTAAAACTACATTTTGACTCTTGAGCATAATTTTTGTCTGAAAAAAAATAATAAACATTTACTTAAAGATAGAGTTCTCCATTTCATGATGTTCACTTCCTTGTGATGAAATAAAGGCAATATAAAAGCAAAATTATGTACTGAAAATATAACATGCTAATTGCTATACTGCAGACAACATTTTAAATAAATTCAATCAATAAATCATAAGGGAAACTAATAGTTACAGATAGATATACTTTAAGTTAAATGATTTATTTTATTATTTAAATTGAACTACCTTTTATTTTCGTATTTTATTTAATTTTTTTTTATTCTAGAAAGAAGTTTTGAGTTTCACACTTTGAATAGATCAGTAAAATTATCAGTGGATCACTTAAAGGAGGGTTCATAATCTTAGAAAAACTACAGTTTAGGGAATATCGGGAAAGTGTAAACAAACATCCTTGTCTTGTTATTATTAACAATAATCGGCAATTATTAACAATAACCACGTCTTTTGGTAATCAACTCTTTTTGTTTTTCTTATGCCATTGTCCTTTATTCCTGTCAAAGTAGTCACATCACTAGATAAAAATGATCAAAAAATCATTTTGATAGATGAAGGAGCAAAAAGGCAGCATTGCTCTGCATTATCTCTATAGAAATAAACTTTTCCTCCAGTGAAATTGCCTTGGAAATTTTATGTTTTAAAACTACCAGTGGATTATGACCGAGCATAATCCAATATTTCAAAAACAATTGCTTTCTCCTCATACAAAATTTGCATTAACAATAGTGTATCCTCCCTATAAAAATAAAATTTTGCTTCAGTAAAATTGCCTTGGAAATTTTATGTTTTAAAACTACTAGTGGATTATGACCGAGCATAATCCAATATTTCAAAAACAATTACTTTCTTCTCATACAAAATTTGCATTAACAATAGTGTATCCTCTCTATAGAAATAAAATTTTGTTTCAGTGAAATTACCATGTAAATTTTGTGTTTTAAAACTACCAGTGGATTATGAACGAGCATAATGTAAGATTTCAAAAACAATGACTTTTTCTTCATATCCTCTCTATAGAAATAAAATTTGCTTGCTTCCAGTGAAATTGCCTCAGAAATTTTATGTTTCAAAACTACTAGTGGATTATGAACGAGCATAATCTAAGATTTAAAAAACAGTGACTTTTTCCTCATACAAAATTTGCATCAGCAATAGTCTCTCCTCCTTAAAGATATAACTTTCTTCGATTGATATTGCCTCGGAAATTTTATTTTTTTAAACTACCAGTCAATTATGAACAAGCATAATTTAATGTTTCAAAAGAAATTACTTTTGCATCATACAAAATTTGCATTAACAATAAGCAGAAGAAACTGACTGCTTAATTCTTCTTATAAAGTAACAGTTCAAAAAATAAAAATTCGATATAACTAATTTTGATTTTTAATTATAGTTATTTTCTTCACGAATCAGTAAAATCAGTTTGAACGATATTAAATTTATATTCTCCTCTTGAAAATAAAGTTTTTTTTAATNTTACTTTCTCCTCATACAAAATTTGCATTAACAATAGTGTATCCTCTCTATAGAAATAAAATTTTGTTTCAGTGAAATTACCATGTAAATTTTGTGTTTTAAAACTACCAGTGGATTATGACCGAGCATAATGTAAGATTTCAAAAACAATGACTTTTTCTTCATATCCTCTCTATAGAAATAAAATTTGCTTGCATCCAGTGAAATTGCCTCAAAAATTTTATGTTTTAAAACTACTAGTGGATTACGACCGAGCATAATCCAATACTTCAAAAACAATTACTTTCTCCTCATACAAAATTTGCATTAACAATAGTGTATCCTCTCTATAGAAATAAAATTTTGTTTCAGTGAAATTGCCATGGAAATTTTGTGTTTTAAAACTACCAGTGGATTATGAACGAGCATAATGTAAGATTTCAAAAACAATGACTTTTTCTTCATATCCTCTCCATAGAAATAAAATTTGCTTGCTTCCAGTGAAATTGCCTCAGAAATTTTATGTTTCAAAACTACTAGTGGATTATGAACGAGCATAATCTAAGATTTAAAAAACAGTGACTTTTTCCTCATACAAAATTTGCATCAGCAATAGTCTCTCCTCCTTAAAGATATAAGATTTTCTTCGATTGATATTGCCTCGGAAATTTTATTTTTTTAAACTACCAGTGAATTATGAACAAGCATATTTTAATATTTCAAAAGAAATTACTTTTGCATCATACAAAATTTGCATTAACAATAAGCAGAAGAAACTGACTGCTTAATTCTTCTTAGAAAGTAGCAGTTCAAAAAATAAAAATTCGATATAACTAATTTTGATTTTTAATTATAGTTATTTTCTTCACGAATCAGTAAAATCAGTTTGAGCGATATTAAATTTATATTCTCCTCTTGAAAATAAAGATTTTTTCAATTTTAAAAGGGGAACTTATAAAGATCTCCAAAAAGAAATTTATTTAAATTTATATTCAGTCTTATTATAAATTCTTTCTCGTACTTAACTCTAAAATCAATATCAAGCGATGAAATTATTTGCAAGCTTATTTAGTTTTAGAGCTATTGAAAATTTGTGAATTCTCTTCATTTTCTTATAGAAAAAAAAATATTTATTTTCGATAAAGTTCTTCTATAAATATTTTTTTTCCTTTTAAAAAACTCCCTCTTTATTCAAAAAGTTTTTCCAAACTCTAATCCCACTTAAAATTCATTTTAGAATTGTCAAAGGAGATTAAATAATTATTTACCACGATCGTGACAAACTGTGCAAAAAACATTTTAAACGACTTAATCCTTAAATGTTGTTTACAGCATTTTTGTATATTAAAAACCTTTTTTCTGAATAATACTTTAAACCACTAGAGAGAATTTGAATGAATTTAATTTAAAATTTGGACTTTCGAGAAAAATCAAGCGGATGGTTAATGTAGATTCATATTTGATTTTTATATTAAAAAAAAATTAAAATGCCATATGTCGAACTATTGTTAGAATACAATAATTCTCAAAGGGATCTTACTTCCATTTGAGGAACAGAAGTCCATAGTATTTTTGTTATTTATCATCTAAAAACATTAATAATATGGATCGTAACATATTTTTTGTTAAGTACATTCCTGTGATCCAGATTCCCCGCTGGGAGTATCGAACAAATTCCATTATCATCTTACGTTTGCTCAAAGTGCTTAACATGACAATGATATTTCAGCATCCTGTATGCTTTAATGCATGCTTGATTGCCCTCCCCCTCATTTTTGGCAACTGGTGGGGGGTGGGAAAAAGATAGCCTATAAATATTGAAGGTTTTGTCAGACGAAGTCTTTTAATCAATTAATTTTAGCAGACCTAGGACGTAATTAGCTTTGCATATCAACTTTGCAATGTCTTTCTTATGCCGAATCATGCTCTTTACTGCTGCAACATTCTTGATTATAACTTGCTTCGGACTTACACCTGCAGGAGGTAAGTAGCTATATTTTAAATGTCCATTTTTTATCAGTTAATTATCTATAAAATTCGGTAGTTAATATGCATTTGCTAAAAATGACGGCATGTGGAAAAAAGGAGGCCATACCCTACATTATTTGAAGTTTTTGTAAAATGTTTGTTTCAGTGGTAATGAACTAAAGCAGGATATTTTTAAATAAAATAGAATTTTAATAAAACTTTTATCAGATCTGGAGAACATAAGAATTTCTCTGCCTGATCTTTCTTATGATTGTTCAAATTGCTGATATGTAGTTAGGAGTAAAATTCTTTTATTTATAACTTATTAAAATATTAATACATTGCCCTAATTTCCGGGAGAAAAAAATTCTGGTTAAATTAGCGTAGTATGGTATTGATATTTCTGGTTTTAAAAAAAGCAAAATTCTGGTTAATAAAATCAAAATATACGACATCTAAAACATTCATTTAATAATTTTTCTGTCCTTATGGTAACGGTTTACCGGAAATTCTGGTTTTCAAAATTATCCCTTAATTTTGCAAATCAAGCAATTAGCAAAAAATACAAAACTGAAAAGTAAATTTAACGGAATAACTGGTTTTCATGCCATGCTTTAAGGTAACATGATAAAATTACCAAATTTTACCACATTTACCAAATTTTACCACATATTGTAAAATCATATTTTATTGTTCATTTTTCCAGAATCATTACTAAAGCGTTTTAGTAAAAATTACTGAGCCTTTCGGTTTATCCATGGAAAAGGAAACACTGTGAATTTTACCATATTCTGATAGTTTTGACCATATTTGTTTTACTCAGTGCACTATGGATGATATTTTCTCAAACTGCAGACATTCTGCAGTAGTTCGAGGATAAAGCTGTAGAACCATGGGGCAATTTTATCAGATTGAAGTTTTTCATAACTGAAAAGCGAGTTCAAAAGTTCCAGGTAAAAAAAAAATTCGAAAATTTGAAGATTTGTTTTATTATTTAAATAAAATTATGCAATTATTTTTCTTTAAATTGAGGAAAAAATTATGTTAATATCCGAATAAAAAACAAGTTTCGTTTTTTCCTTCTTATTCAATGCGAGTGATGTACTAATAGTTAGAATACTTTTTTTCTCCAAAATCAATTTTTTTCAAAATCAACTTTTCAAAATCAACTTAGTGATAAGCAGAGAATGTAGCTTTTTCGATCAATTTAAACTTTTTTATGCAAAAAATTATAATTAAAATAATTTACGAAATATTGTAGCAAATATGTTATACATTTGTCAATAGTAATGTTTTGCGAACGTTTCCTGTTACACACTTCAAAAAAAATTTTTTTTTTCAAGTACAGAAAATAATTTTATGGTACACAATGGCGTTGTATCTTGGGCCTATTTCCTTTTCTTATTTGTAAATTTTACAACACTCCCATATATATATATATATATATTTCCCTGTAAAAAATTCCAGTTGAAATTACGGTATAAAGTATCAGCACTTTAGGTGCACCATCCGTGAAATCCGTTTTTACCGTAAAATATTATACTGTGGTTTTTAGAGTATTATTTATTTAATCAGAGTGGTTCAATGGTTTTATATTACTGTAAAAATTAAGGTACATCAGATTTTTTGTTCCGTAACATGTTCTGGTAAAAATGAATTTTACGGTATAAAGCACCAGCACCATAAGTGTCGGTACTTTTTTTCTGTAATTTGGTTCAGAAATTTTTACAGTTTTATTTTCTTTTGTTTTCAGGAAATTAAAAAAGTTTTGTTTTTTATTTTGGTATATAAAGCTTTTGAAATATGATGAAATAACAATTGTGCAAATTTAAGTTCAAAATGTTTTTAATTTTTTGACTGTTAACAGCAAAAAATGCTGATGACAAACTGAAGCATAAGAAATTTTAAAAAATTTTTAAAAAAAATTTTATACTAAAAGTCAATATTGTCAGTTATATCAAATACTAAAAATATCTTTATTTTAAAATATCTTTATGTTTTGAATTTTTCTTTCTATTGAATACCTGTAATCTATTGATCTATAAAAAAAATTGTATTCTTATTAAATATTTTGCTTGCTTATACTTGCATAGTTTTTAAATTTTAAATACTAATTGCGTATTTTTTAATTAGTACTCAGTCTAAAAATTATATGCATTTTCAGAAATAATTGCTAATATTGTTCCTTTATTTATTTAATTTTCATTGATAACACTCATTTTGAGTTAATTTCTCTTAAATTTGCTAGTTAAATGCATTTAGATATTCAGGAAATTAAAACTCGTTTTTCAAGCATCCTGAATAAGCTAAAATAAATTAAACTAATCAGAATACAATACTAAATAATATTTTTGTGGAATATTTCAAATAATTATTGCTTTAAGACTATTAAAATGTTTACGTATTCTGTTTGACAAAGTTCAAGCAGAAATGTATTTTTGCTAACTGACCTTACACATAACTTGGTCCGGTCCGATTTTCATTACTTAGACTAGTCCAAAATAGAACAAGCATACACATTTTTTTAAACTAAATACATTAACTGTTAATTTTTATAATAAATTATTTTTCTCAAAAACACCCGCTATTTTGCCATAAGAAGAATGACAATTTAGAGCATTTCTAACAGGACTGTGTTTTTAAATGTAAGCAATTAAGAGTTTTATTTTCCTATCAAATTGATTCATACAAGATATAAAATTCTCCCATATATACTAGATATTTAATTTTATTTTGTTTTCAGGAAATAAAAAATATTATTTTGAGTTGGGATATATGAATAATAAAATAATAGTGAAATAAAAAAAATGTAACTTTTAATTTAGAAATGTTTTTAATACTTTAAATGCTAATAGCAGAAATTTCCGAAGATTTTAAAGCTTTTTAGTTTTATCGAAATTTTTGAAGACAAAGTTTTATAAAATTTAAAAAAATTAATATTAAAGGTTAATATTGTCAGTTATTTAAATGCTAAAAAGATTTATATTTTAAAGTTTCTTAATTTTGAATTGTTTTCTTTGAAAATGTCATTTAGAAGATCAGTGAGCAAATTTTGTCTACTTATTAAAAATTTTTACTATTCTTATATCGCATTTATATTTGTCTGAACATTTTGTATGCATATTTTGTATTTACTTCTGATTCACGAGAAAATTAAAAATTAAGCAATTTTTTAATGCAATTTTAAATTTAAAAATTTTTTTTAATTCCTATATGCTAATAGCAAAAAATACTGAGATATATTGGAGTATGGATTATTTTAGAGAAATTTTTAAAAAATTAAAATTAAAAGTAAATATTGTCAGTTATATCAAATTATTAAAAACATCTTTATTTTAAAGTTCTGAAATTTTGAACTTTTTTCTTCGAAAATGTCTCGCGGATGAGGTGTGAACAATATTGTATACTTATATTGCTTAAATTGTCTTTATATTTTGTACAAATCGAAAAGAATTCTGATCAAAATACTGTACTAAATGGTAATTACATTCCTGGTTTAAAAAGAATCTATTTAGTAAAATTAAAATATGCTGTATTTAAACTATTCATTTGATAATTTTTCCGTTACAATGGTAAAGGCTTAGCGGCAATTCTGGTTTTCAAAATTACAGTTCTTATTACCATCCACTTAGGAAAAAAAATGAAAAGTATTTTTCGCTTGTTCACTTGTTGTTTTCACCCAAATTTTTCACTGGTTATAAAACCATATTTTATTGTTTATTTTACCAAACTCATAACCAAGTGCTGCAGTAAAAATTCATCAAGCTTTTCGGTGTTCATATAAAGTCTTCATACAGAAATTTTTTTAAACGTTAATAACAAAAAATATCAAATACATATTAAAACTAAAAAGGTCAATATTTTCAGTTGTATTCAATACTAAATTATTTCCAGTTTAAAGTTTCTAAGTTTTTAATATTTTTCTTTTAAAATATCTTCCAGAAGGACTGAAAAAAATTGTGCAAGCTCATTAAACTTTTTACATACTTATATTTATATTGTATTTATACTTTGTATGCTTAATTTGTATTTACTTTGCTAATTCACAAGAAAATTTAAGAAAACATTTTTAAAAAAGAGATTTTTACTTTTTCACGACTTTCTTAAAAAAATTATTCTGTGTAATGCAAGATTTAGATTTTAAGAACATCATTCCGTTTTAATAATCCCCTTTATGCTATAAAAACTAATTAGTAGAACAGATACGTATTGTCAATGATTAAGAGTTTTTTAGACTTAAATTTGATTTCAAATATAAACATGATATTTGGAATATTAAATTCATTTTTAGTTATGCAAATAAGACTTTGTTTTTGCTTAGAATAATTAATATTCTTGTAATTAATATTCTCCGAAATTTGAATGTAAGCTAAAACAATGTAAGCTCTACAGCAGAGGGTTAAAAGCTTAAATTAATTTTTCAATTATGCAAATAAGACTTTGTTTTTGCTTAGAATATTAAGTCCCAAATAAAAAAATCAAATATAAATCGAAAAGAGAAAGTCTCATTCAAGTATTTAATTTAGTAATTATTATTCTCCGAAATTTAAGCGTTCAATGGGAAAGCTAAAACAATGTAAGCCCAACAGCAGAGGGTTAATAACTTAAATTTATTTTTCAATTATGCAAATAAGACTTTGTTTTTTCTTAGAATATTAATTCTCAAATAAAAAAATGAAATATTTTAAATCGAAAAGAGAAAATATCATTCAAGTATTTAATTAAGTAATTAATATTCTCCGAAATTTGAATGTTCCCAGTAGGTAAGCTAAAACAATGTAAGCTTTGAAGCAGAGGGTTAATAGCTTGAATTTATTTTTCAATTATGCAAATAAGACTTTGTTTTTTCTTGGAATATTAATTCTCAAATAAAAAAATCAAATAGTTTAAATTGAAAAGAGAAAATCTCATTAAAGTATTTAATTAAGTAATTAATATTCTCCGAAATTTAAACGTTCTCAGTGGGCTGGCTGAAACAATGTAAGCTCTACAGCAGAGGGTTAATAGCTTAAATT